AAATTGCTTGATTTTGCTACGGCCAATTTGGCGATTTTTGACGCGTTGTTCCAATACTGACCCTATCGTTTGTGGTTTAAACCATTCAGTTCAGCTCGGACTGTCGATCTTACTTCGACGTGCTGAGCGACGAGCCGCAGTATGTCGCCATTGATAACGAATTTGCTGCTTCTGCTGAAGTCGACGTAATGCAACACGCAGTAGATCACCTCGAGAAGTGCGGGGTGCAGATTCGCTGGCCCCTTTTCCATCATCTGATACGAAAACGTAGGTAATGTAAGGCTGAATATCAATTCAAACCTCGCCCAGCAGCGGCAGTAAATCGGCGATGGATGACGGGAAGGCGTCGTCCAAGTACTTGACAACGCACTTCGTCCACTGTAAACCTTCCTTGCTGAAAGAACCTTGATAGTACAAACGCATAACGGTAGCCAGATGCTCCAGTGGACAGTCCACGTCAGATGCGCATGACGAACGAGGTGTAATATTTTCTAGTTCTTCTCTACAGAACTATAAATAAGGAGCATAAAACAATCAATCATCTCTCATCATCAGCACCTTACTTCAGCTATGTTTTCCGCTGCGTTCAAGCAAAGTCTAGTTGGGTTGTTGTAATGCAATACCAAAATCGGCAGCAGTGCAATTACCGTCGAAGCAAAGCCTAAATTAAAATACTCAAAAGAGGATTCATAAATACTTCTGGGTAATGCACTCTGCTTTGTAGGCATGTGCAAAATTGCGCTTTCATAACAATTTGAGCTCCGCATTACGTCAAACGAAAATGGCAAGGATGTAATTAATTTAAATAAGCATATTCTTGTTTAAATAGCATCACTGTCAGAAAATGATGATAAAATCTCCATCATTCAGAATGTCACAGACGAGTGAAAACCGGTGACATTTTTATCAGGGTCAAGCTGATTTGTATGACTGATCTTAAACGACCATTTGATGGTGACCAACCATGTGATATTGGCACCCGTCCGCGAGTCACAACAGACGGCACAGCTGACTGAACGGATAATTAACGCTTCTTCAACATTGTGGCTGACACAGTGCTATTCCGCGTGACACCTCATATGGACTGGCCACAGTATGTCATTCTATTCAATATCTGCACCTGTTCTCGTACTTCGCTTTGATAACCTCGGAAACTTGCTTTTGTCTGCCTACTCTGCTTCTTCCTGGTAACCTTTTCCTCTGGCATGACCGTTCTTGCACCCGCAAGATCTTTGCTGTATTGTGTCTTTCTTTCTCGTTTCAATTATGAAAAATAAAGTACACAAAACAAAAGTCTCCCAGCCTGAAGCGAGCATGAAGGCATGTCTGCATGCATGAATGTGTAAGTATCTATGTAGGCAAGCATGTATGTCAAACTCCTTGCACAACTTGTTACAACTCAGAAAATGGGTCATCGTCGGTCTGCTCCGTAACCTCAGGTTGGGGAGTAAAATACACATAAGCAAAACGTATGCGTTGTTCAACCGTTATGATATTCCAAAAGAAAAAACCATCTCCTTGTGACAGAAGAAATTACATAGTATTTTCAACATAACGCATGTTAATATACACACATTCACTACTAAATTATTTAAAAAAACAGCTAAACCACGACTCTAACTCAGCAGCTAAAATTAACAATACAGCGAATTAACCTTAGTACTTATACCGGATTTACACGGCGAAAACGTATGTGTAAAGAAAGGAAATTTATGCTTTACTTCACACCGATACTTCGGTAATGTAAGACCGACAGAAGGCTCACACTCTTGGAACTACCCCGGAACATCGAGGTTATACTTTGCTTCGCTTTTTAACCTTATTACAATCCACACAATCACCATTTCGGTAAATGACCATCACCACTAAAGTTATTTATTGTCATCAATGAAGAAGCGGTGGCTATATGCAGGACGCAGCGATAACTAACCGTTTTTCTGTGAAGCGTCGACTATACTGAATCGAAGAAGTGGAATGGACTTCACCAGCACACTGGCGGTCGATTCATATGCGTTTGCGAAAATGATGCACTATAATAACGACCGACGAGTAAGAGAAATAAAAAAAACTGAGGATATTTTATCATTAGAGCACCTTCAACACGAGTTTCTGAATACCGGGAAAGTTCGGCCAGTTCAACTGCGAAAGCATTCGAGAAAGACGGTCAAAGCAGTCGGCCCTTTCGGCTGAGGGCAAGTCGAGCAACTAGAACAAAGCACCCGTAAAAATGATTAAAGCAAATATCTTCAAATGTTGCGGCATTACCTTGTCTAGCATACGCACGGCCATCAAAAATTCATGCTCAAAGTCTGAATCGAGCAACGACGTGGCGATCCATAACATCTGTGACAAACAGGCAACGTGCTCATCCTGACCTTCACCCTTCAGAGCGTGGGCGCTCTTTGACCGCGCCATGCTGGTCACTGTTGTGTTTTCATCACCGTCGGACGCGCCGCTACATACTTCTCGAAAAACTTTTCAGCGAGCAGTAAACAAGTTAGGCACCAACAAAATTACTGGTGGTACCTTTCGTGGTATTCCCAACGGCGGCACTTTTCAGTACGCTTATAAAGCAGCTGGTACTCCGCTGATGTGTAGGCGAAGAACGACCACCGCCGCCGCCAGCTCCAGATCCACCAACATTCACCTTCCTCTCGATGACTGTCTCTTTAAACAGGTTCGCCAAGGAGTGCTCAGCTACCTCGATGTACAGAATACTTGATTCCAGCGTCAACATTATCTCCGTTACGTATCCCTTTGAAATATATGAAAACATATTATGAAAACAAACGCCACCTTTCAAGAATGAGTAGGTAGGCCGAAAGAGCATTGAAAAAAAATCTTATGTTCTAAAAAAGAGAAGGAACATGACAAATATAAAAAGACCCACCCCTGAATGATCGGCATTGCAAGTAAACAAGCAAGCACTTCGCAAGAAGGCGGATTTTGGACAGAAAAAGAATGGACTGAACGGCAAACGGGTGGGACAATAAGTGAAACTCTGGAACTCGTTTTGCATGGACACTATTTTATCGGGGCTGTTTCACCGTCGAGGTAACATCGCATCGCTCTGCCAACTCCGCATTAACAGTACCTGCATATCTTCGTTTCGTTCCGACACCGTCTCTACTAGTCTAGAGAGAATTTCCGTGATCATCGTTGAGCTAAGTGGAATGTGGAACGCACGTAGGATCTAAAGGCTTCAGCGATGAAATTGAACCACAAAAATGAAAGCAAACAAAAAAAAACAGCATCGAACAATGCAGTACCTTCACAAAACGAAAAACCTTCTAATCTTATCGCCAATCAACTGTTATCCACATCAAGAGCTTTATTATATCCTAGCCATATCTCGAACCAGCATTTGAAAGTGACCACAAAAATCATATCTATCGTAGATCAGCCCCTATGTAAAACTTCAGCTGATTAATACTACTCCACTAATTCTGTCCTTATTCTCACCTTCAGAAGAATATTAGAAGGCAGTCAAAATCAAATTCGACTAATTTAAACATTCCATTAATTCAATCCCAAAGGCACAAACTGCATCCAGTGGCTATTAATAATCTATGCTTGGAAAAACAACTGTTTTCTTCATTCGTCAGGGACTGCTATTTATCTGAAACGTACTGATGAACATATTTTATCGCTTACAAATGACAGCAACTTTCATAAAGAAATGAAAGAGAAATACGACACATCTAGTTTAACCAAAATTTAATCAAAATCAGTTTAATTACGCAACAGCTTCCAAAATTTATCGGCAAACCACGGTATGTGTATTATGTCATGAATTAAAATATGAGCCAAGGCAAGAAGACAGTTAGTTAATAAGATCTCCCAATGTAATTCATGTTAATAGCCTTGGAATCAAAAAACTTTTGAACTTCAGTCACACGCATACATCCGCACAGAACAAATCACTGGACGCGGTGACAAAACGATAGAAAGGTTGGTTTCGAACTTCGGAGGAACCGGATTCGAACAAGGATGAAATATAATTTAACCGCGACTTCTCTTGAGCAATGAATTTGCCCCATATTGCTTCGGCGCAGTCGGCCGATACACTGACAGCGAATCGTCAACTTGCAAACAACGTACACAGCTTGAAATTCTTTTGTGGTCATACTATTATGGACGAGAGGTATGGCGATGCCGTCCGACGCAACTGGCCCATATGGCAGCATTTCGCCGTGACTCGCTTGACAGCTGACCAGTGATAATGTGCAATGATCATGATATGCGTGATAATAAGCAAAACGTGTAACAACGAAAAAAACAGTTAAAGATTCAACTTTACCGCAGCTAGAATAACGAATTTATCATTGGCTGTTACCTTGCGAGAGGTGGTCGAAACCGGGCGAATAAAGACAGTTTTATACATGCAAAGAAACTCCGAACAATAAGAACTTTGAACGTTAAAATATTTATTTTCTTATGCGCTGGTAATAAATAAGAATGAATTCTTGGCAACATAGCAGCTTTTGAGATACAGATAGAAAAAACACCGATTAAACGCTAGAAACTTCAGATATGCGTTTAGTAGACCTTCACGAGGGTCGTGAGATGATACATTTGCATGCTCGCTGCTGCAGAAGTTGCAAACAACGATTGCTATAGAATTATGGATTAAGATTATACTAGATGGCATCGCCGACAGTATAACAA